GTGTGCTTGGTCAGCAAATGGTCGTTGTGCGGTAACTATTTCATACATAATTCCACCAAAACTATAAATATCACCCTCCCTTATAAAATCATTTCCTTTTAATACCTCAGGTGGAATATATGGAATTGATCCATAAGTTTCGTTATTTTTGGGATTATAATTTAGGATTAATTCATTGTAAAAATATTCATTATAGTTTAACAAAATATTTTCACTACGAAGGTCACAATGAACTAGATTTTTTGCATGTAAGCTTTCGAGACTCTCTGCTATTGATGTTAATATTTTTGTTTTTGTTTCCCATTCTAAATCCCAAAAAGTTTTGGTTAAATAATTATGTAAGTCATCATCAAATAAATCCATAACAAAAATGTAATTTTTTGTAGAAGGTTTTATTGAAATTCCAGAATAGTAATTATAATTTTTAACCGTCTTCACCTTAATATGAAAATATTAAAAGACAAATTAATAAATTACAAATATTAATAAAAGTTCGCAATAAATTATTTTCTAAATATAAAGAAACATACTACTTTAAGAATTTCAGCTATATCATATCTAGAATCTTTTATTTCTTTCAAAGCAACTTTCTGGCCTATGAAATTATACTCCCAATCTTGTTTGATAAAATTCCATTTCCTTTTTATTCCATTTTCTAATTTGGTTGAATACACAGATCCATGACCACCATCTGCTATGTGTTCGATATTTTGAAAATTATCATAAGGTATCCATTGTAACTTACCGTAAACGTCATTCATTTGAGATTCTTGGATAATCTTATCAATGTTAGCATTCCCACTAGACCATGTTTTAAATTCTTGGATAAAATGTTCTTTGGTACACAAAGAACATTCTCCGTATAGAATGAGATTTTTGTGGTTAGAATAAGCAAAATCTTCAGAAGAATGACCTGCCGGACAATATTTTTTTTTCTCTATTTTTTGAGACATGGGAAATAAAAGATATTCGTTATTAAATTTTTCTTGATTCCAAATTTAATTTATTGTTCTATGATAATCATTCCTTTTCTGATTGTATTTATTTGTGCTTTATTCAAAACTAATTTTAGATTTTAAGATGCCGTGAAACTATTTTGTGTTTAAATAGTATAAATGCAAAAGTTTTAATTTCGGATCATAAAATTTTTTGCATTATCCCCATTAATATTAAATTATTAAATTTCTGTGAAAATTATCATGAAGGATAAATTATATTGTTATTTTGGCACAAGCATTAAAGACAGTATCGAAAGCATTATATAATAAAGATAATAATTTGACTATAAAACGAACTAAACACAAGTTTCTATAATACTAAAGGTGTCTGGATTTTGCTTGGTATGTACGATAATTTACTTTTACTAACAGTAGCAACTATATTGCACAGAATAAATACTCAAATACATTTCATACACCAGATAATATACATTAACCAATATCATTATTATTAGGGTCCCAGGTTCTATTAAAGGTAAGATGTCATATTTAATTTATTAAATTTTAAGTGAAATTAATTTTAATGCTGCGGTTGATGATATTAATAACCCAAATATCTAATTTAATCAGGACAATAATGGCAATATTTCAAGCAGTACAACGAAAACTATGATATATTATGTACCAAAAATAGTAACAAGAAAATTCAATCAATAGTTAACCAAAGAGAAATTATTTTGATGTTTATCATATACATAAGATGAATTTGAATTGACAAAATGTCAAGATGATTTCTTTTTTTTTTATTGGTTCTTAAGAAAAGAAATTATTTGTCTACGTAGTGTTATTAATAGACTCCATATCCTGTATCATCATTTATTAGTTTTTTTTTATTTAATTCAAGAATAAAATACATCACTTGTAGCTTTGCTCACGTCGCTGTTTTTTTATTTAATCCTTGAATTAAATACATCACTTAGCATATACAGTGGTGTTCAAAAAAAAATGTCAATTTTAAAATCACGTTATTTAAATGATTATCGCACCAATTAAAATGTATTTTGTATTATTTTAAAGCCGAAACTCGGCAGATTCTATTAAAAAAATTTAATATGATATTCTTTCCCCATTTTTTTCAATAACCTCTATACAACATCGTGGCATTGAATTTACAAGATTAATTAGAACACTATTTGGAACTTTTTCCCATTCTTCACCTAAAAGGCTTTCAAATTCTGTAAGATTTTTTGGTTTACGTAACTCCACGTTCCTCTTAACGATTGCCCAAAGATTTTCAATAGGATTCAGATCCGGACTATTGGAAGGCCAATCCATAACTTCTGGGACGTTATTTTCAAGAAATTCTTTAGCAATACGACTAGTATGCTTAGGATCGTTATCTTGTTGTAGGCGCTATAGTCTTTTTAATATTCTGTTGACCTCTGGAATATGTTTTTCCAAGATTTCTATATAGAATTTTGTATCCATTATATGTTGAAAACAAAAAAGACTTGTTTTTCCTTTTATGCAAAAACCACCCATTCGAATATTTTTCTTCGGTCCTTTGGCATACGACGAACTGGTCTTGCATTTTTGTACCAGTGTTTAATTGAATTACGAAATAGTTGAAAAGATGTTTTGTCGCTAAAAAGTGTTTTTTTCCAGTCATCATCTTTATGTTTTTGTGCCCATTCAATACGTTTTTCTTTATGAATAGACGTGAG